GAAAGCAAATTTAAGTTAACAACCTTTGATGCATGGAAATGGGTTTCTGTTCCTTTGTTGAGACTAATGTCTAATAGAATTATCCTTGATGTTCCTTGATGTTCCTTGAATTCTTGATGTAATCCTCCAAAATGTTTTTTCACAGTACAATGAAAAACCAGGGATAACTGGTGCACTAAAGTCTTGGCTGTAGGATATATAAACAGTACATAGTCCTGTTCAGCATCTTCATTTTCTGCTCCTCTCCAAGCTGTCTTCTCTAAGACGACAGCATAGTCTGACATGCATAAGACTTTGTGGCCTGTGGTGCTCCTTACTTTTTATGTCCACAACCTTTTTTATTATTGTCTTTTTTGAACATTAGGAGTGTTAGAGATTTCTCATTAAAGTTTTTACTCTTACATCCTATCATCTGCCAACATTGAAGCCCTCTTTAACAGAACTCTATGAAATGACTGCTCTGGAAGAACATATGACATTTTCTAGCCATTTTATGCAAGTACATCAAAGTTTTAGAAAACAGTTTTTAAAATAACTGAAAACTCTATGGCCTTGAGTAAAAATTACTGATTGAGAGCAGCAGGGCCAATTTGAAGCTTATGTAATTGCATTAGGATTTAAATTTGAAGATGGGCTGAAAGCCAATGCTGAGGTTGTTTTAAGTCTGCTTTGAGCTGGGTGTGTGACACTCCCAACTCATCTTACCCTGCATGTTTAAGCAGCTTTTTGAAATAAACTTCATACCTATGGGGGTTATAATTAGATCAAATCAGATATATTATTACTCAAACAAACTTCTCAAGTACAGGAAAGTTTATCTAAAAAATTTAACCTGTAGTGTAAAAGCTGACATTGTGCTTGTTAAGAACGCTAGATGTCATTATTATAAAAAAAAATTCAAAAACTTTTTTTGTGCATTCATTTTTCAACAATTACTAGAGAACAACAATTTTAACTAAAATACATATCTCACATTTTCACAATGAGTTACAATCAAACTAAAATAATACTTTTTTTATAACTAATTTAGTTTGAAGTCTTTTTTAAACAACACAACCGGTGTCCCTTGAACATTTAGTCTTACAGCAGTAATATAATTAATCACACTCTCTTAATTATTTTAAGGTAGCTAAAAATGTATGAATAACAGGATAAAAATTGAATTTATATACATGCTAACCTATCCTATCTGAATTCTAACAGAAACTATCTGTTCCCCATATTTCTGCAGCCCACAAACAAATTTCTCGCTCTGTCAGGTCATCCCAAGCCAAATATTTCTAGTCTGTAACTTCTCTTCTGTTTGCTTTTTTACTACATCCTATGTCTCCCTCTCTGTCTCCACATCATTTTCTTTTTTTCCCCACTCTCACCTTATCTGTTCCCCCTTGTTCACTTTATTTCCTCATTAAGATGCCTTTTTGTCTCACTTTTTGTGCATTGCTCATGTGTGCCTTCACTTCTCTACTCTCCTCTGCCACCTTTCACGGTTTTCCTAAAGGATTCACACTGAAATTGAGGGAAAACATCCAAGCGTGAAATAGTCCAGAGAGGGTTCTTGACGCTGACTTGTTATTTCATTTTCAGGATGAAACAAGGGCATTAATACTTAAAAGGCCTGCCTGTCTTGATGGAAAACACTAAGGAGAGTCATGTCTCCATATTTTCCTTGATTCCTCTTCCTTTGGTGACTCTATATTTTCTCCTTCATTTTTTTCCCCTGACTGACTAATTTACTTGCATCCTTATACTAGATGTATTTGGGCTTATTTTGCCCATGTAATGTGTTACTGAAGTGTTCCTATAAGCATTTGTTGACAAGGTAAATGAAGAATGCAAAATGCCACAAAAGAAAGATGAATTCTTGTTGTAAAAGACTGAACGTAGAGAAATGTTCATTCCAAAGGCAAGCACAATTAACCGTAGCACTGTCGGGCATAGCGGATGCTTAGACATGCTTATTAGTCCAATGAGAGATGAGCACTTCCTGGTGCCACCAGCAGAGTAGCAGGAAGACATATTATCACAGGGATAAACAAATGGAGGGCATAAACCTTCTGAGAAATTATGTATGTGAGTCAAAGAATAGTAAAAGAACAAAGATTTGACAACTTTATCAACACCTTCGATTTTCTAACTCAGTATTCTCTCTTTAATTATGTGTCTTTATCTGTAGAATACTGTCTTTGATTTAACAAAAATAAAAAGATGCTATTCCACACTGTGGTGAAGAGACAAGGATAAAATGGTTATTTTTTATGTGTGAGTAGTAGCATAAATGTGTGCCGTTTTATCTACCTGCTGGAATGAAGTTTCACTCTTTGCAACAAAAAAATAATAAACAGATACAGCTCGTGGAATTAAAGTAACAGTAAAAGTTGTAAAAATCCAATTAAAAATATTATTTAGATTCATTACACACATAATATATAAATTATATAGTGTACAGTTCAGTAAACCTCGTGTGTTATGAGTTTGACTTACAAATTGAAAACCAAAAATGACATTTCTCAGAAATTTAGTATTTCATAAGACCCTTTTTTCAATAAGTCTGCCAGGTGAAATGTATGCAAATATATTGTTTAGTGTATACAGACACAATACCTTTTACATGAGATTTTGCGTCATTGAAGTGTAGCATGAGGGTGATCAGGTTGTGGCTTTCCTCAGGTGTTAAGCATGCCATGGTTTCTTTAATGGCAGCAGCCAGCGTCTCCACGCTGTTGGATTTGGTGCCTTTTATCTTCCTCTTGTCAGTACTTTGAAGATTCGCTATTGTGTTTAGTGCAAGGGAAATTGCTGGCCAAACAAGCACTGCAATATCGTGATAATTAAAGCAAACTAATTTTCACAGTGTTGACACATGCCAAGTCCTGTTGTAAAATAAAGAGTATCTTTATAAAGCTTGTCAAGCGAGGCAAGCATTAAGATCTTGTAGTAAACGGTTTTGCTTTGAATTTGGAAAAATAAGCTGACTTTCGACAGGAGAGAACTCCCCAAAATATTGACGGCTGTAGAAACTTCACTCTAGACTTAAAGCAGCATTGATTCTGTGCCTCTTTACTCTAAAATCCGATCTAAATATTAATCTAAACTCCAAAATGTGGGACTTTGATTTACAAAGATTCTAACTTTGCTTTTTTTAGAAAAGATAACTTAAATCGCATAAAAAAAAATAAAATAAATCTTATGAGACTGTCTCTGCTTACGGTTCAAGTACAATTCCACTCGCTCATAGTGCTTTACTTGAAAGTTATTTAGTTATTGTTTACTTCCGGAAGTTATGCACTTCTGCAAAGTTAAAGGTATAGTAGAGGATTTTTGCAAATTTTCGAAAAGACCTGCCCTTTCCACTTTTGAAAAAAGTGCACTTCCACCACCCTGTATCTGCCACTGAGAGGGAACGTCAATTTTATGAGAGCATGCACAAGCCCATTTCTCTTTGTGAATGCTCTGTTTAAAAGTTGCTGTTTGCATCACTCATACAAGCTTACTTTCCAAAAGATTTGCAATTTTCCCACTATATCCGGCTCACCACTGGTAAGTGAAAATGGGGATGAGCACAAAGGACAGCCTTACGTAAACATATTACCAGAAAGGTTGAGAATTAGGAGGACCACTTGTTTTAATGACTCAGCAGGAAAAATAACATCCTCCACTATACCTTTAAATATATTCACCCGTTTCAAGTAGTTGGCAGTCTGTGGATTGACAGTGCTCAAATTTGGCCGCCCGTTCAGTATGGGGATATTTACAGTTATCTCATTAATACACCAGGACTTTATACAGCAGAGGCAATGAAGGCATACAAGTCATTCGAAGGATATTTCTTTGTGTCTGGAAAAGTGGGGAAAATATTGTATCACAGCAATGATCGCATGAATGCAGTGTGCTTCCTGTGTGCCGAGATGCCATAGCAGAAGATCACCAACAACAAAGGGCGTCACCAGGTGTGGGTCTGCCTGGATAAAATAAAAGGCTATGTGGTGTCTGCCCACTGCACATGCAAAGCAGGGTAACATAATTTTATATTTATATAAATCTATGCAATAATATTAGATGCAAGCCGTATAGTATCAGTATTTCAATCATTTATAGAAATGTTAGTCTGTAATAGAAACCTTCAGTCCAAATGGGTAAAAAAGTGAATCATGTAGATTTAAGATTTAGCGCGTTAGCTCGATAACTTTACTGCTAAAAACTGCTAGTGTTTCTGCCCCCCAACATCAAACTGGGGTGGGGTCTTGCACATGTGAAGTCGCTTTTCAATGCGCCTATAGCTGAAGTCATCCTATGTTTGTATGTTTTCTGCAACACCTTTTCCTTTCATTAAACCTTCCAGTAATGTGTCTGAATGCATCTTTTGGGACAACTTTGGCTTTGTTATAGTTGCAGTTGCCCACCAATTAAAATGTTAGTATTTTGATTCAACCTCTTCTACTGTCACACACACATCACATTTTAAATTGTCCTTGGCTATATCACTGAACCCCTAGTTGCCAACCAATCTGCATATCAGTGGGTCACAGTGAATGTGACTTTCTGTGTGAAAGTGCTTGAGCCATCAGTATAGGTTCAGTCCAATTATAGCACCCCGTGAACAGACAGCTTGAGATATTATTTTGTAGCTTAACCTTCAATGCTCATATGAGATACTGTTAAGTGCAAGCCACATTTACAAGAATAAGGTTAAATTATTTTAGTTGAATTACTGAAATAGGTCCACATTATCAAAGTATATTTTTTTTATTCAAAAACACAAAATTGTTTAAACTACACTATTTGCGTTTTCTAAACAACTAAAATGAAAGGTTGTATAATGTATTTTTATAGAGAAATGTATAATAAGGAACAGTCATAGAGCAGACAATTAATTTATAGTAACAGAAATACCAAAAGGGGATAAATGTCTGTAAAATAAAGGTGTTTGATGACTTTATTTTTACTTCTTTTAAGTAAATTTTCTCCCTCGCCAAGGAAATAATTTGATAGGTACTCACTGTATGGAGTTCTCTATCCGTGAGATAGTGAGGAAAGCTGCTAGATTAGCAGTGTATGAAGAGATGACAATGAGGGCAAACATCCACCAAACACCCATCATCATCCTGGTTGCAAGGGTGGTGTATGGGACTTCTCCACCTAGGAAAAAGAAGGAGAGATAATGGTTTAGAAAGATTTGCTAACTATTGGAAATTATCACACTCACATTTTGGAAAAGCAGAATCTTGAAGAATTATGTGTACATTAATAAAATGTCTCATAATGTATGATGATCTGATGCTTTAATTTCAAATTTATCTTAATAAGCAGGAATAGATTCCAAACTGATCAAGAACGTTAAATGCAGAATATACTAACCTCTTGGACACTAGGCCTGTTTTCGAGAAATATTCTTAAAAATAACATGCCTAAAATGAATTGAATATATCTCAAGAACTACAGAGTTTAATTTAATTGTTTTGGTATCAAAATAAAGCAAGACCCCAGAGAATATGTTACAGGTCTAAAAACCATCTTGGGGCGAGTGCTGAGGACCCAAATTTGGGTCCTCATGTTATGAAAAGGTTAAACAAGACTCAAAAAGATAGAAACACAATTAAAGGACCTTGTCTTGACACCAAATGATGATCAGATTACATTTTTATATTAGTTTAAAACATTAAATAAAGGTTAGCGCATACATCAGGAGGGCGGTACGTTTATAAATAGATTTTTTTCGGCCTGAGTTTTCATTTAGCCACTGTTAAATAAACGACTGTTGATGTCAGCACTCCTTGTTCCTAGCTCTTCTTACCCAGAAACATACAGTATGTGACACACACATAATCGCATGTTACTGTACCTTTATCCTGTCGCCTTCCCTTGCTGCTGTTTTCAGGCCATTTTATTGCATATTTTTGGGGCCTGGCTTGCTCTACTTTATTCAATTTGAATTTGTTATCTCTCCACGCTCTGGGTTTTATACTGTACATTAGCTGCTGACATCAGGTTTTATAACTAGCCCAAAGGCACTATAATGCATGGGCTCTCCACAACAAGCAAATCAAATAATCCAATTGCATGGCTAATCTTCTATTTTAGGATTTGTTGTTTTTATCTTATTCACCTGATTTTTCTTTTTCCTTGTTTTAGTTTGTGAAATTGTTGTTGTCCTCTCAATTAAAAATGAAGAAAATTATAAATATGTCTTTTATTGCTTATAATCAGTTGACAAAAAACTATTACAAGCTGGTCCAGCTGGCTTTCCAAAGATATGAGAACATTCTTGTTATGAAAAGTCTAAATCAAGTTTTAGGAGGTTGAGAAAACTTTGGTGGAGCTGGCTTGGCAATGTAATATTATAATGTTAGATTTATTTTTTATTATTTTTTTTTAATTTAAACTTTAATTAACCAGGAAAAAAATCCCATTGAGATTAAAAAACAAGGGAGTCCTGGCCAAGAGGCAGCAAAGTTACATAAGAAACATAGATACATTAAAATAAATGACAGGTACATAAAAAAAAAAACTAAAAAAAAACATATCAAGTAAAACAATTATAGATTGATTGTGATTGATAGATGATTGAGGCTGCTTCAAATTCTTTTACTTTCAACTTATATATAAATATATAATATAAGATCAGCTCTAGTGGTCTGATCTACTCGGGCCCTTAGCATTTCGGTAATGTTATACTATATGATTGGCTAAACATTGCCATTATGATGTAAAACATTGTGGTTGCCAGGAAACTACAAAAAGATAATGCAGCATCAGTGTGCCGAGCCGGGAACATCTGTAGTGTATGTCTAATGACTGATGAAATTTAACGTGATAGATATCCGAGCAGATCTGGTACCAGGTGAAACTGAGGCATCGGAAACCTGGATGTATGAGTCACTTTTATAAAGGAACTCACACTATGGTGTACCTGTAACAGAGGTCATTTATCAACATGTACTGTAAATGCTATGGAAATTAAACTGTACTAGCCACCATTCAACCACTTTGGCAGCATTCAGACAATTTTGAGATTTACATTGAGAACTAAAGAATCTCTCATTAACATTAAAAAAAAAAAAAGGTAGGGTAGGAATCCAACAGATTTTGGGGTAAGGGGAATGGAATATTCTGAGGCATAATGTGGTTCATTCTTAACTTACTTGCATCTAGGGTGCAGAGGTCCCTAATCATTAAACTTCTTAACAACAGAAAACCAACATGTTTCACTTAATAGCTGACTTGCAACTTCTAACACACCATTTGAAAAAAAAATGTTACAGAAAATCATTTGTTGAGAAATAGTCATTGCTCTGTATCATAAATTATGATATTTTTAGTGGTTTATTGCATTACGAGATAAACAAATGCCAAGACACAGTTAGGGTTTTCGTTTATTAAGGTTTATTTTGATGTCCATCTTTACATATTTCTAAAAATTAGAGCAGACTTGTTCTATCTTTGTTAAGCAACTTTGCAGTAACAGAGGAACCCTGCATAGATTATACTGTATATGGCTTTCCGTCTAAACTGCTTCTTCCTTCGAAATAAAGAATCAAATCTATCCTTTTTGCTCATAAAGGTTACCAAGAATGATGTAGTTTTAAGCTAACCTCATCTTTCCCATTCTATTTACATTTGTCAAATACTACTTAACGAGATGCTTTTATTTTTAAATCCCATTAATCTATGTTTAGACCCTTGGTCACATCGTTGATTGGTTCTCAGATGGCTTGCACCTAAAATTACCAGCTGCTGTATGTTTAAAGTTAATATCATACTTAAAGCATTAAAGCATAATATAACTATTACACTACCAGAGGTGGGTAGAAACTAGTTACATTTTCTCAGTAAGTTGCTTGAGAAACTCTTTTGGCAAAAATATATGTTTAAGAATAGTTTTACTTTTTGGTTTTAAGTACAGTCTGCTCTATCTCATCTTGGACTTCACAAGTGCACGTCCAGTAAAAGACAAGATAAGACAAGACCAATATTAATTATAAAATCAATATAAATGATCTTTTTGGACTTTTTGGACTTTATATCAAATTGAATATCTTACATTGTTCATACCATTGTAAAGAAAGGAAATCAGAGGAAGACAACGCTATTACTGCTAGAGCAATCAGACCTTTCATATATTTGCTGACCAGCATTTTAAATGCTTCACTGGTATTTAGTGATTTATTGTTGCTTATAAATTTAAAGTCATAAAGATCAGAAGGCCTTCTTGACACTATATTTTCTCTTCTCCGACAATTAGCTATGAGATTCAAATTGGGAGTTTGCTTGGGCTAAATTACTTTCATCTAACTAACTCTAAACTAAATCTGTTAGCTTTATGAATACAGTAGTGTTGGGTTTAAATGTTGCACTTTCAAGGCCCCAACTGGAAATTTCTAATTGGTAGACCTGGGGGAACTGACCCGTAAATCAGTTGTGTAATGTAAGTGGTTGGTTGACAACATAACTAACTGGGTTCTTTTCATTCACATGTTATGAATTACATTGGAGGCCAAACATTGTCCGCTTCTCCCCTTTTGTCCATTTTCCATGGTGCTTCTCTCAGACACTTGTAAAAGTAAGCATTCTGAATCTGATTCTGTGATTTTCAAACTGATAGCTGATATAGTCGCTTTTTATTCCAATATATTTTCTTATTCTTATGACCACTTTGTCATTTTTTGCTATGGTGATCTACAACTCCTATATACTGACGTGAACTTAATAAAGCTATAAGAAATCCTTAAACATGGGTTTCCGATGGCTATTGAAGAATTGCCAATGAGAAACTAATTCATGGGCATTTTTAAATTTGAATTTAAAAGAGTATCTTCAAAGATACTTCTAAGTTTAAAGCTTTTATTTTCTATGCCTATTTCTTTTTAATCACATCAACGAAACAAATACAGTGATGTCAGATCAAGTACAACAAATCTATGTACATAAGACTAAAACTCAACAAGTTTAATGGAACTCAAACTGAACTTGATCTTAGATCTTCTTACTATGCATTGCTTTCTTTATTTCTACAGACGGCAAGTCAACTATTCAGTAAGTCAACTATTCAGTTAATTTACTTGATGCACAAAATGCTGATTGCTACTCCGACTTAAACAAATTTTAAACTTCTGAGATTAAAGAATTTAATTTTCTGGTCAAAACTCTTAAAAGCCTTCAAAATCAATTGTAGATCTTTTAAGTTACAGCATCAGACCCATTCATTCCTAATCAGTTTCAGTGGTTCTTTTATAGATGTTTAAAGAAGTAAAGCAGTGCTGGTAAATGTTGTTCTGGTGACAGTTCAGAGAAAAAAAATCCTAGCGTCCTCGAAACTTACTGATAAAAGCCATTTTTTAACAATTTGGCCTTTTTCCTCAGAGCTCTGAAAAAATATCCTTTCAAATGTATTTTTGATTGGATCGACCATAGGAGGCTCAAAAATACAAAGACTACAATGAAAAGCCGCAAGGTTGGAGTCTTAGAGCATCGTAACAGTATTCATTCTTTACTTTTGTCCTGTCAAACTAATGTCCTTTCAGTCCTTTTAACCGCTGTCTTTATTCTGTGGACTCAATGTACATACCAAAGGGACAAGGAAAGTGCGTGTGCCTTTACCTTTAGGATTAAGGAACAACTATAATCACACTTTAAAATAAAGATATGTGAGTTGTGTTGAGGGGATCCGTTTTGGTGGCCTTAGGATTGCGTCTCTGCTTTTTGCAGATGATGTGGTCCTGTTGGCTTCAACAAGTCGTGATCTGCAGCTCTCGCTGGATCGGTTCGCAGCCGAGTGTGAAGCGGCCGGGATGGGGATCAGTGCCTCCAAATCCGAGGCCATGGTCTTGAGCCGGAAAAGGGTAGAGTGCCTTCTCCGGGTCAGGGGGGGTGTCCTGCCCCAAGTGGAGGAGTTTAAGTATCTTGGGATCTTGTTCACAAATGAGGGAAGAAGGGAGCGGGAGATCGACAGGCGGATTGGTGCAGCGTCTGCCGTGAAGCGGGCACTGTACCGGTCCGTCGTGGTGAAGAGAGAGCTGAGTCAAAAAGCGAAGCTCTCGATTTACCGGTCGATCTACGTTCCTACCCTCATCTATGGTCATGAACTCTGGGTCATGACCGAAAGAACGATATCGCGGATACAAGCGGCCGAAATGGGTTTC